TTGTACTTATATAATTAAAATTTTATATATATTTATTACATTTAATATTTATATAATAATAATAATTTTTAAAAGTAAGAATAATAAAATACAACAATAAAGAAATAATAATCACAGATGTAGTTTATAAATAACAAATATTAAATCAAACACATATTACACTTGCAACTAACAGTTTTTTTCTCCCTCGTACTTTTAGGCGATGGTGAGTACATACAACTTTAAATTTTGATTATTTTTAACTTTCTTTTTATTTTTCTACTAATGATTTTTAAGTCATGGTTTTTGTTTATTATATAAATGATTTTTTACCTTCAAACTTCAAATTTAACATGATAAGAATCATAAAGTAAAAAATATGAATATCAAGATATTAAAATAGATATGATATCATTAGCCACTATCTCTTTTTAACAAACTAAAACAGAAGATTAAAAAGATTATGAGTCTAAAAATTTGCACATCTTATTTAAAGAACCTTCATTCTATTATTTATTTTTTTTTTGATAAATATTTTTCATTCTTTATTATTAATTATTTAACTAAATTTAGTTTTATAATAGTATATAAATTTGAGTTCTGGATATGAAATCAAATTTTAATTCTTTATTATTATTTTAAACTATATTTAAGTTTAGATTGTAATAAATAATATTTTATTAAATTTTTACTAGTTTTATTTAAGTTAGGATTGAAAGTAAATAATATTTTATTAAATTTTAATTTGAAAAAAAAATTAAGTAAAATATCATTTAACGAATACATAAGTATACACCCACAAATTACTTAGTACTTGTTGGGTTAAATAGTAAATATAGATTTTTAAGTATTTAAATAAATACCAAACTTAAAACGTTACATTCAAAAATTTTTAAATCAAATATCAAATATGACTCATACTCAATCTGTACCAAAAGATCAAGTATCAAATATAACTCATAATCAATCTGCACTAAAAGATGCTCATCCCTACCTCATAGTCATAGGGGTCGTTTCACTTGAGGGTAAATTGTTCTATAAATTATGTGGGCTTTGGGCGTTTAAACCAAATGAAAGAATTCGGTGCGCACCGATTTATTAAGAGGCAGGGGCACA